ATGTTCATTTAAACAAACGTTTGGGGGCGAAGGGATAAATTATTTTATTTTATTTTTTCCATTTTCTTTCACTTTTCTCCTCGAAGACGGTCAATTCGGAGCAAGATATATAGTGTAATAGGCGTTTAGGGTTTAGATTTCCGCCGCTCTGCTTTCACAGCACTTCCTCTCAAAGCCATAAACGGAGGAGAGCTTCATCCACCAGAATTCAAGATGGTACGCCTATTTCTCACACATTTACTCTATATTTCTGTTTATATTTTTCAATGAAGTTTTGGATACTGTTATCTAATTTTTTGTGTTTTATGCGTGTGATTTTTTTATGCGTAGCCGTCGCACAAGACATTCATGATCAAGAAGAAGCTTGCGAAGAAGCAGAGGCAGAATAGGCCAATCCCGTACTGGATCCGCCTCCGTACCGACAACACCATCCGCTACAACGCCAAACGCCGTCACTGGCGCCGTACTAAGCTCGGCTTCTAAGCATACCCTTCTTTTATAGAGTTTTGCGTTATATTCTGCTTTTCCTTTCTATTAGGATTCAATGTTTACGGATGATGCTAAGACGCAAGACTTCTATTCGGTTTTATTATTCAGATTTTGTCTTGAATTGAAATTTGAAGTTAATCTACGGATTTAATTTTTATTCTTCTGCTTTATTTTTTGGATTTTAGTGTTATTTTTTCCCTTTTAACACTCCAAATGGATGGTTAATTATACGATTCTCCCTTCTGATCTCAACCTTAAATTGTTCTTTTACTTCACTTGTTTCATAATTTGACTGTCTGGTTTTTAATTCATCTTATTATTGCTTTGAGGTTTTCGTGCACTCTTGGATACCAGTTGACAAGTTATGCATTCAATTTTTATCTGCATTGATTTCAGGTACAGATTATGAACATTCTGGACGCAAGTTGGGCTTTTCTGCATTTGAATATGTTAATAAATGATTTTGCCAACGATATTGGATTATAAATTTATCAAGGCTGTGCCCTTGGAAAGTAAAATAATATTTGGATTTTTTTTCTGTATATTTCTAACATTACTTTTTGAGCTAGAGTAGCTCGTCACAGGGTATGGTGTGGTAATTATATCAGCACATATTTTAGTGCATGTTTGGTGAAGCTTATAATCGCTAATGAGCTAGTCGAAGTTTATTTTTATCTACGCATTTCATAAGAATTACCTTTATTCGTCCTACATTTTGTAGGATCCAATATTAGTATTATTGAAATAAAAAAAAATTTGCCAAATATGATTACGAGCTTTTGTAGAACTTTATAATGTGCGCTAGCCCCTTATGCATACCAAATGCCATTAGAAGATAGTTGGCTTCTTTTTATGTGATAAAATGCAAGCATCTTGCCACACCTTGAACGCCTTATCCATCACAAAGGTTTAGTTTTTGATATGTTTCTCTCTGATTATGTTGCATTTTAAATGGAGTTTGTCTGGGTGGACAATCCTTGTGAGGATTTTATCTGTGAGGTTCGGATTTGATTGTGATTGTCTTTCATTGATACAGTTGGGTGTTTTGCTGTGGTGGGTAATATATTATTGTGCTGCTACTTTTTACGATGAGTAATGCGTACCCTTTTTGCAATTTGGTGACCAGGGATATTGATTTGCTTTGCAGTCTTGACGAGTGACCGGATCCTTTTATTTGCATTTTGCTTCTAATGTGTGTAAATTGTTGAAATTTGCTACTTTTATATTCAATTGGTTGACATCTATTTTGGACCTTAGGGTGTTGTATGGGAGGGGTTTCCTCTCTCTTTTACATATTTTCCTTTATATATATATTCCCTGTGGTAGAGATTATTTGAGAATGGATATTGTGAAAGGTAAATTCTTAGGAGAATTTGTGATTAAAAAATAGGGAGAAGTTTGTGCAGAATCATTGAACCATACATTTGAAATGCTTTTAAGCTTAGTCCTCTAATGTAATGACTAAAGAGGCCTAGCTTGTCTCGACCCAAATCCACTTTGGATTCAATTAGAACGTGACATGTACCAAGAACTCTTGTAAGATAGATATTTTATAACTATGATTGTAACAATGACCATACTGGGCTAGGCATATTATGTTTCTTGATTTATATATTTGCTATATTTATATACTATGAAATTCTAAAAATTCTTAATGCATTTATTCACGGGTTACGTTAATGCAAGAATAGATATGTCATCATTCGGATGTAACAAAAACATGTCTATGATAATCTTGATGACCTGGCGAATTTATCCAAACGTTGACAAGAAATGGCATTTATTCCATGGCTAGTAAAACAGAAATGTATAAATTAACATTCTACGAGTTCAATAGAACCAAAATAGATTCTTAAACGTCAATAAGCTATTTATCACTCGTGTGTCAGCCCAAATCTATGAAAACTACGAGCAACATCTCTGATTTGGGATAGGCCTCATCAGGATGTGTGGTAGCATATGAGGTGCTTGAAGCATGAAGCATGTCAGTGGCCACTGAAAGATGGACTTATGAAAAACTAATAGCCCAAGGAAATATGTAAGCTCATGGGATATTCGAGATCTCTACAAACAGTTTATGTAGCGCTTGAGGCTTTGAGAAAAATGGCGAGTGATCCGCGCCTTTAAGACAGAATAGTCTCTCTGGGGGACTTTTGTTTATCATGCTTTCCTGTAAAGCGATTGGTATGGCATTATCTTCTTGAGTTTCAATATAAAACCGCCTCACAGAGCCATACTTCGTGTCAGAAAGAGAGAGCTTCTCAAGAACTGGTGAAAAAGGGATCGACCTCATTGAGACTGATGCCAACGCAACGTCCTGCAAAGGAAAATTAACAAACGAGGAGCAAGAGTAAAAAAATGATAGATACATGAAAATGTGTGATAACCACATAGAGGGTAAGACAGCAGCAGGTGAACAGCTAAGCCACAACAATAAAAAGCATCAAATTTGCAAAACTATGACACCGTTGGTTGCATCACACTTATCATCAGGAACTGCATAAAATTTTCCGAGATCAGCAATTTCAGAACAATCGTGCTAGAGGAACATAAAGTTTGACATAATGTTACATAGCATTTCATCGTTGGATAGTTTTAAACACAGTCAATTTTTCCATACAATCACTTTCTTCCACATGCAATGATGTTAAGCATTCTGTCAAAGTTACTTTATCCATTTCAGAATCATAGTTTCAGTCTTTTAACAGTATATTGCAATTATACGGAGAAGAATTGGACAGTTCTAGGTAGCTGTTTATATATCTACAAGAACAATAGATATTTGGCAGCAGGTGGGCTTGTATAGTACACCATACCTTGGCAGGACTCTGGTTGAATAGTAACTCCTTTATTACAGCTCTATCGAAATCAATAGCAGTTGGAGGCTGATTGTTCCCATTAGCATATATGAATGCCTGAGCCTGTCGCATCAGATCATTTGAATCCACCTGCATAATTATCATATTCGCTTATGCAAAAAAGCATTGATAACTCAAATGCTCGCAAAATGTTAGATTTCAGGGGGAAGCATCAGGGCTGAAGTGAATCTCAGTGCTCAGATTCATTTTTAGCCTACCAATTCTGGAATGTCACCCACCAAGCAGTAGGAGAAAAAATGAAATTCAGAATCATGCCACTGGGATATGCTAAGATTTTTAACCACGTACACTCCATATCTAAGTATTAATATGATCCAGTGTTGCCCGGACAATTCCTATGAGCAAACTCATGACACATATGATACATCCTGCATCATCGATAAGGTCACTCTTTTTTGAGTCCTACGTAAATTTTCTTATGTTTTCCCCCATAAAGGTCAATAAGACGGTGTAAATCCATATTATTATGAAACTCGACATTACATATGCAGACAGGCCTAATCATTCTTGAAAATACAATTGCATGTTTAATATCTTTTGTTAAAGAAAGCAGGCCACTCTTCGCACATGAGACCGTTCTCTTTGCAAGCCAAGAATTCATTAAATACAGGGAAACTCTGGATCAAAAACAAACCTTTTCGGAGAACAGATCAAGGGTACTTTGCCCGCTAACCAACATAGCTGCAGCAGTAAAAACAGCTTTTGAAACTTTGGAGTGAAACAACTCCATTACATATGATATGCACGCCCCACCAAAATCATGTCCTACTAAAATCACCTGCGTATGCAAATGAAAAGTTGAAGAAGAAATATTACGTTATGAATGAATGTGTAATACGCATTTAGGTGCAAAGGTTTATATTTTCATGTGCCAGAGGCAACTTATTGAAGAATTTCAGAGTTCAAAATATACCATATGAACAATTTAACTAAATGCTTTGATTAATCAAATGTATAGCATCTTGTGTTGCAAGAGATGTAAAACACAGCCAAGAACCTATTTTTCTCCATTCACTAGGTTTACCCATTTTACTTCTATAATTATAATTTTGAAAAAGAAAAGAGAACAAAAGTAGAAATGCATGAAAAGAAGTAAAGAAATGGCATGAAAATATAACCTTCTCCCCATCAGCAAGCTTTTCAAAAAAATCAATAAGTGGCTTCACATATTGATGGAGACTTTTGACGCTATTTGTGTCAAATGAATGAATCCCAGAACCAGTCAAATCTATTGCAGTTACTTTATATCCATCTTCTTCCAGTAATGCAATACTTTTATACCAGCACCAGGCACCAAAACCACCACCATGAACGAGGACAAAATGGTTGGTCTCTGGATTATCAGCCTTGATACCCTATCAAAGAGAACGCGTGAGTAGACTTTAAAGTCAAAGCCAAAATAAAAACAACTATATTTTTTAATCAATTCATAAAACTGGGCAAAAGGAATCTATATTTAGCTCCACATATGCAGTTGAAGTTGATAACTCTTTGGGTGTGACAAAGGGATCACACTCAACATTAGGATTATTTCAATTAAGCATTGAACATTTTAACAATACGTAATAACTGACTAGTGATAAAATAATAATAATAATAATAAAAAAATATGCTGAAACATAATTAGAGTTTATCTGTGAGACTGAAAATAGATAGAGCCAGCTATGCATGTTCAAAGTAAGACTTATACTAAAGAAATTAGATTTTGCTGGAGCTAGGCTCCATTGTGATAAAAAAAAATAAAAAAGAAAGAAAAAAAGCTCATCTTTTAATTATCAAACAATGCAGTTCTTCCTCAACTGATTCAATTACTGAGATAAGTTAGGTACAATTATGAGCTTGAATTTGAGGCTTGTACGAGCTGTCTCATTTACTGAATAAGCCTAATATCAAGGTCAACTCCGACTAAATATATGATTCTGAGGAAGCGTTATCATAATAAGTACACAAGATCAACAGCTAACAGGCCAAAACGTGAAGAATATAACTGCAATACCTAATATTGAGAAGGGGTCCAATTCTGTTTTCTTGGATGCTTTTACCCTGTTCCAGAATGCATCCCATGGCCAAAAGCGTGATAGCTTATAAGCATTGGTTTTTCTCTTATCCACTGGTGATCCCCTGCCTAAAGGCTCAGCATTCGGATTCTGAAGCATTTCGCATCTGTTTCTTTCTTCTGGTGGAGGTGCAATATCCTTCTCCTCATCAGAGGACATTTCTTGTATCCCCGTACTGATTGATTGGGCAGTTTCCCCAGAGCAAGGCCAGACACCATCAGAACTAGTTATCTCTGTGACATATTCCAGCTGTTCCAGTGCAAATTGGAGTTGTACCACAACTTGAGCCATTGTAGGCCGTTTCTTTGGTTCATCATGCAAGCATCTTTTTGCAAGTTCCAGAAATGTCATCAGGCTCTCGGGTGAAATTTGTCCCCTCAGACTTGAAGAAATAAGCTGATCGATTTCTCCCTTGCTGATGCAGTCTTGAAACCACATGGTGAGACTATGTTTGTCCTCTGTGAGTCTTGGATCCACTGCTGGCCTTCCACACAATATTTCCAACAACACAACCCCGAAGGCGTAAGTGTCGCTCTTCCTTGTCAGTTTACGGGTTCTAAAATAATATGGGTCAAAATACCCAAATGTGCCTTTAACGTTTGTGAGAACATAGCTTTGCATATAATTTTTCTTTTGAGTTTTGGCCAACCCAAAATCTGAAATCTTAGCATCGAAATTTTCATCCAGCAGGATGTTCGAAGCCTTTATGTCACGGTGTATGATTTCATGATCTGTACCACAGTGTAGGTAGTCTAGTCCTCGACCCACCCCAATGCAGATCCTTAGGCGTTGCTTCCAAGAGAGAGAAGAATGATAATCGCTCTCGCCATCGAGTCCAAAGAGATGATCAGCCAATGTGCCATTGGGAGTATACTCATACAGAAGAATCATTTCTTTGAATTCATTGCAGTATCCGATTAAAGAAACAAGATTAGCATGAAGGAGCTTCGAAAGTGTTCGGATCTCTGTCCAAAACTCATTCTCTCCTTGCTTCGAATTGGATTCTAATCGCTTTACGGCTACAGTTTGTGGACCATTATCAATGAAACCTTTATAGACTTTACCAAATCCACCTTTTCCGATAACAAGTGCATCATTGAAGTTCTCAGTGGCTAATTGTATTTCAGCAAGAGAAAAAGGACGACAGATTCGTTCAGTCGAGGCAGACAGCTTGTTCCTATCTTTGGTATAATGATCTTCCCAAATTTGCCTCAATTTATGAGTAATGACATTGATTACAACAATTAGAATTACTGCACCAGTTGCAATTGTGTTCCCATGACCTAAAATAGTCGGAAAATTTCGCAGAGTCACAGATGATGGAGATCGTGCAGGAGGCGAAGGGTTCGGACTAGCTAGACTATTTTCTTGGTTGCTCAACTTCAATATCTCCAATCCCTTAAGGGCATCCTTTATCTGGAGGGCAATCAGTATATCACGCCTGCCCTCATCTTTGTGTCCTTTCACCATCACAATGTAGTCTCTGTACCAAAGAATGTCATTTCCACCCTTCCCTTTATCGACATAAGTTTCGGCAATCATGTCGTTTATGAGGACCCTAAACACCGGGTGGCCAGTCTCGGCCATCTGAAGTCCTTTCTCACAGAAATGAAGCCTCACCAAGTACCCATATCCAACATCCACAGGTATTTTCCAGGTGAAATTGTTGATCTTGTTTGCGTTTTTATTTGAAACTGCTCCCCACATCCTAAAAATACCAGAATTATCTGCTGATGGGATAGGATTCCAAATCATATTTATTCGGTGCACGATTTCAAGTGCAGTGTTGTTATCAATATAGATTCGAGATTTTTGGCCGACCACTTGGGCTCCAAGATCACCAGCATGTGAGTAATAAAGATCAGGAGGCATAGATATTACCTCAATTCCATTTATGAACGCGTATGTTTTATATGACAGGCTATGTTCCGGAGAAAAGATTATGTCCAATGTTTGATTTTCTTCTATATTGATGCAGTACTCCTTAACGAAAGATTTTACGCCAAATGCATCTGCAGTTATCGAAGCACTAAAGTTACTGAGGAGGGCAAAAGGCCCAGCTTGGACATTGAAAAAGTCCATAGACTTTTCAAAACTCCGGTATGAATCCCGACTAAAGTGAAAGCGAATAAATTTGTGACCTGGGCTTAATCGGAAAGTATAAGAGAATTGTGTTCGAGAGATTCGTGCTGTCTTGTAGGGAACAGGATATGTGGAAACCAAATTATGGACGATGCTTGAGCTGGTGGATGAGCCCTTTATTTGTGGCGAGAAAGTAGATTTTGAATTTATATCTCCAATCCATTCCCTGCCATTAAAGGCAGTTGATATGCCGGTGGAACCACAGTCAATAGCTATATCCCCAGAGAAGTAATGATCTGCAGAGGTGATAAGAAGATGATAAAAGAAGAAAAGCATTGAAACTGGATACAGGTACATGTTGTGATTGTACTTTGGTGTAAGACGAGAATGCTAGCAGTTAATGGTCTATACAAGATATTACAGTTCAAAGTCAAGTGCCTTGAATCTTCATGCATAGAGTACTTTTTGTATGATCATTGTTTAATTTTATAAACACTAGATTGAACATTTTGATTGTCTTGATGTTTTTCAACTTTGACGACTTGACCGATGGTATAATATAATATATTTTGGAAACATCTACATTGAATGGTGCTTGTAGAATTGAATTATGTTTTGAAAACATCCCACAGGCCTATGACCAGGTGGTTCAAGTCGAGATGGACCGAGACGATTTCACGGCAAACTCGTTAGTATTATTTTTTGTTTAAAATGTATTCACTACTTTTTGACTTGTTCTACAAGTCATAGTATCGAGGCTGAATTGAATTATCTAAATTCGGACAACTTTTTCACTATTGAGAAAAGTTGAGTTAAGACATAATGCATAAAATCATGCTTGCATGTTGATCCACACGTCAAATCAGATATATAATTATTAATTATTGAAATAATTGTCTGATTTGGGTAGGGTGGGGATATTTGGATTATTTTGGGATCCAATCAAAGTATATGAAGTTAGATGTTCATTTAAACAAACGTTTGGGGGCGAAGGGATAAATTATTTTATTTTATTTTTTCCATTTTCTTTCACTTTTCTCCTCGTAGACGGTCAATTCGGAGCAATATATATAGTGTAATAGGCGATTAGGGTTTAGATTTCCGCCGCTCTGCTTTCACAGCACTTCCTCTCAAAGCCATAAACGGAGGAGAGCTTCATCCACCAGAATTCAAGATGGTATGCCTATATCTCACACATTTACTCTATATTTCTGTTTATATTTTTCAATGAAGTTTTGGATACTGTTATCTAATTTTTTATGTTTTATGCGTGTGATTTTTTTTATGCGTAGCCGTCGCACAAGACATTCATGATCAAGAAGAAGCTTGCGAAGAAGCAGAGGCAGAATAGGCCAATCCCGTACTGGATCCGCCTCCGTACCGACAACACCATCCGCTACAACGCCAAACGCCGTCACTGGCGCCGTACTAAGCTCGGCTTTTAAGCATACCCTTCTTTTATAGAGTTTTGCGTTATATTCTGCTTTTCCTTTCTATTAGGATTCAATGTTTACGGATGATGTTAAGACGCAAGATTTCTATTCGGTTTTATTATTCAGATTTTGTCTTGAATTGAAATTTGAAGTTAATCTACGGATTTAATTTTCATTCTTCTGCTTTATTTTTTGGATTTTAGTGTTATTTTTTCCCTTTTAACACTTCAAATGGATGGTTAATTATACGATTCTCCCTTCTGATCTCAACCTTAAATTGTTCTTTTACTTCACTTGTTTCATGATTTGACTGTCTGGTTTTTAATTCATCTTATTATTGCTTTGAGGTTTTCGTGCACTCTTGGATACCAGTTGACAAGTTATGCATTCAATTTTTATGTGCATTGATTTCAGGTACAGATTATGAACATTCTGGACGCAAGTTGGGCTTTTCTGCATTTGAATATGTTAATAAATGATTTTGCCAACGATATTGGATTATAAATTTATCAAGGCTGTGCCCTTGGAAAGTAAAATAATATTTGGATTTTTTTTCTGTATATTTCTAACATTACTTTTTGAGCTAGAGTAGCTCTTCACAGGGTATGGTGTGGTAATTATATCAGCACATATTTTAGTGCATGTTGGGTGAAGCTTATAGTCGCTAATGAGCTAGTCAAAGTTTATTTTTATCTACATATTTCATAAGACTTACCTTTATTCGTCCTACATTTTGTAGGATCCAATATTAGTATTATTGAAATAAAAAAAAAATTGCCAAATATGATTATGAGCTTTTGTAGAACTTTATAATGTGCGCTAGCCCCTTATGCAGACCAAATCCCATTAGAAAAGATAGTTGGCTTCTTTTTATGTGATAAAATGCAAGCATCTTGCCACACCTTGAACGCCTTATCCATCATAAAGGTTTAGTTTTTGATATGTTTCTCTCTGATTATGTTGCATTTTAAATGGAGTTTGTCTGGGTGGACCATCCTTGTGAGGATTTTATCTGTGAGGTTCGGATTTGATTGTCTTTCATTGATACAGTTGGGTGTTTTGCTGTGGTGGATAATATATCATTGTGCTGCTACTTTTTACGATGAGAATTAGCATACCCTTTTTGCAATTTGGTGACCAGGGATATTGATTTGCTTTGCAGTCTTGACAAGTGACCGGATCCTTTTATTTACATTTTGCTTCTAATGTGTGTAAATTGTTGAAATTTGCTACTTTTATATTCAATTGGTTGACATCTATTTTGGACCTTAGGGTGTTGTATGGGAGGGGTTTCCTCTCTCTTTTACATTTTTTCCTTTATATATATATTCTCTGTTTGGTAGAGATTATTTGAGAATGGATATTGTGAAAGGTGAATTCTTAGGAGAATTTGTGATTAAAAAATAGGGAGAAGTTTGTGCAAAATTATTGAACCATACATTTGAAATGCTTTTAACCTTAGTCCTCTAATGTAATGACTAAAGAGGCCTAGCTTGTCTCGACCCAAATCCACTTTGGATTCAATTGGAACGTGACATGTACCAAGAACTCTTGTAAGATGGATATTTTATAACTATGATTGTAGTAATGACCATGCCGGGCTAGGCATATTATGTTTCTTGATTTATATATTTGCTATATTTATATACTATGAAATTCTAAAAATTCTTAATGCATTTATTCACGAGTTACGTTAATGCAAGAATAGATATGTCCCATCATTCAGATGTAACAAAAACATGTCTATGATAATCTTGATGACCTGGCGAATTTATCCAAACTTTGACAAGAAATGGCATTTATTCCATGGCTAGTAAAACAGAAATGTATAAATTAACATTCTACGAGTTCAATAGAACCAAAATAGATTCTTAAACGTCAATAAGCTATTTATCACTCGTGTGTCAGCCCAAATCTATGAAAACTACGAGCAACATCTCTGATTTGGGGTAGGCCTCATCAGGATGTGTGGTAGCATATGAGGTGCTTGAAGCATGAAGCATGTCAGTGGCCACTGAAAGATGGACTTATGAAAAACTAATAGCCCAAGGAAATATGTAAGCTCATGGGATATTCGAGATCTCTACAAACAGTTTATGTAGCGCTTGAGGCTTTGAGAAAAATGGCGAGTGATCCGCGCCTTTAAGACAGAATAGTCTCTCTGGGGGACTTTTGTTTATCATGCTTTCCTGTAAAGCGATTGGTATGGCATTATCTTCTTGAGTTTCAATATAAAACCGCCTCACAGAGCCATACTTCGTGTCAGAAAGAGAGAGCTTCTCAAGAACTGGTGAAAAAGGGATCGACCTCATTGAGACTGATGCCAACGCAACGTCCTGCAAAGGAAAATTAACAAACGAGGAGCAAGAGTAAAAAAATGATAGATACATGAAAATGTGTGATAACCACATAGAGGGTAAGACAGCAGCAGGTGAACAGCTAAGCCACAACAATAAAAAGCATCAAATTTGCAAAACTATGACACCGTTGGTTGCATCACACTTATCATCAGGAACTGCATAAAATTTTCCGAGATCAGCAATTTCAGAACAATCGTGCTAGAGGAACATAAAGTTTGACATAATGTTACATAGCATTTCATCGTTGGATAGTTTTAAACACAGTCAATTTTTCCATACAATCACTTTCTTCCACATGCAATGATGTTAAGCATTCTGTCAAAGTTACTTTATCCATTTCAGAATCATAGTTTCAGTCTTTTAACAGTATATTGCAATTATACGGAGAAGAATTGGACAGTTCTAGGTAGCTGTTTATATATCTACAAGAACAATAGATATTTGGCAGCAGGTGGGCTTGTATAGTACACCATACCTTGGCAGGACTCTGGTTGAATAGTAACTCCTTTATTACAGCTCTATCGAAATCAATAGCAGTTGGAGGCTGATTGTTCCCATTAGCATATATGAATGCCTGAGCCTGTCGCATCAGATCATTTGAATCCACCTGCATAATTATCATATTCGCTTACGCAAAAAAGCATTGATAACTCAAATGCTCGCAAAATGTTAGATTTCAGGGGGAAGCATCAGGGCTGAAGTGAATCTCAGTGCTCAGATTCATTTTTAGCCTACCAATTCTGGAATGTCACCCACCAAGCAGTAGGAGAAAAAATGAAATTCAGAATCATGCCACTGGGATATGCTAAGATTTTTAACCACGTACACTCCATATCTAAGTATTAATATGATCCGCCCGGACAATTCCTATGAGCAAACTCATGACACATATGATACATCCTGCATCATCGATAAGGTCACTCTTTATTGAGTCGTACGTAACTTTTCTTATGTTTTCCCCCATATGCAGACAGGCCTAATCATTCTTGAAAATACAATTGCATGTTTAATATCTTTTGTTAAAGAAAGCAGGCCACTCTTCGCACATGAGACCGTTCTCTTTGCAAGCCAAGAATTCATTAAATACAGGGAAACTCTGGATCAAAAACAAACCTTTTCGGAGAACAGATCAAGGGTACTTTGCCCGCTAACCAACATAGCTGCAGCAGTAAAAACAGCTTTTGAAACTTTGGAGTGAAACAACTCCATTACATATGATATGCACGCCCCACCAAAATCATGTCCTACTAAAATCACCTGCGTATGCAAATGAAAAGTTGAAGAAGAAATATTACGTTATGAATGAATGTGTAATATGCATTTAGGTGCAAAGGTTTATATTTTCATGTGCCAGAGGCAACTTATTGAAGAATTTCAGAGTTCATAATATACCATATGAACAATTTAACTAAATGCTTTGATTAATCAAATGTATAGCATCTTGTGTTGCAAGAGATGTAAAACACAGCCAAGAACCTATTTTTCTCCATTCACTAGGTTTACCCATTTTACTTCTATAATTATAATTTTGAAAAAGAAAAGAGAACAAAAGTAGAAATGCATGAAAAGAAGTAAAGAAATGGCATGAAAATATAACCTTCTCCCCATCAGCAAGCTCTTCAAAAAAATCAATAAGTGGCTTCACATATTGATGGAGACTTTTGACGCTATTTGTGTCAAATGAATGAATCCCAGAACCAGTCAAATCTATTGCAGTTACTTTATATCCATCTTCTTCCAGTAATGCAATACTTTTATACCAGCACCAGGCACCAAAACCACCACCATGAACGAGGACAAAATGGTTGGTCTCTGGATTATCAGCCTTGATACCCTATCAAAGAGAACGCGTGAGTAGACTTTAAAGTCAAAGCCAAAATAAAAACAACTATATTTTTTAATCAATTCATAAAACTGGGTAAAAGGAATCTATATTTAGCTCCACATATGCAATTGAAGATGATAACTCTTTGGGTGTGACAAAGGGATCACACTCAACATTAGGATTATTTCAATTAAGCATTGAACATTTTAATAATACGTAATAACTGACTAGTGATAAAAAAAAAATAATAATAATAATAATAATAAAATAAAATAAAATTTGAACTTGAACCGCTGAATGGACAACTAATAGCAAATGCTTCTAAAAAGGAAAACATTTTGACTGCTTTCATCAATAATGGAAAATTATGAAAAACAAAAGCATACCTGTTTTGGACACTTGGAGTATAATCTGAAAGCTCTGGTATGAAGAAGGTAAAATAAAAATACTTCCATGGCAGGAAAGAGCAAAACGAACAGAACTCACATAAGAAAGAATAAAGTATATAATAGAAGACTATCCAAGAGCCAATATCATTCTCCCTCCGTCTATAATTAAATGCTCCCTTTGTTGTTTAGTGGTCAGGCTGATGCTTTGTCCAAACAACATTTTCTACACATATTGATATTGTTTTACCGTATAAATGGAAAATTTAAAGAAGATCCAGTGGCGGTTTTCATGAAAGATTCTCAAGCTATAATCTCTCTCCCCCTCAAAAATTAACTCATTAATAAGAAATCACCCGATGACAAAAAGTTAGTAAATTACACATTGACAAATATTTCACCTGACAGCAAAAAGTTGAAAGGAGTTTCCTATTCTCCAACTTTACAGCATGACTATTCTCCAACTTTACAGCATGACTCTTGATTATTGATAAAGACAAATCATATCGGAATTACTAATAATAATTTCTCGAAACTATTTCAAGCTCAAATTAAAAAAACTGAGTGCAAAATTTCACAAAAAATTATGAGTTATTCAGATAAAACCCAAAACATTACAATAAAAACAAAGAATCAAGTCATTCTAAATCAAATTAATTAAAATAAAGAAATGAAAAAATCGAATGCTAATTTCAGAATTTACCTGCGTAACAAGCTGGTGTGCTTGAAGCAAAGGATCAGTGAGAGACCGAGCTCTGGAACTCGAGCTCCGACGAAAAGTCTGATTCCTTTTCGAGTTTCCACTCGGATACCTCAAAGAAGTGGACCGATCAAACGATGCTGCGCCGTCGTTCTGCATCTGCTGCTGGAAAAGAATTGCCGCAGCCAACGCTTGCTCGTGAATTCGATTCTCATCTCTCTTCGACGACCGAATCCTCGTCCACCGATTGCTCCCAACACCCGCCGCCGCCACTCGTTTCGATTGTCTTTGCTTCGCCGCCGATTCATTATCACGAGAAAAGCACAAGCCCATTATTTTTTACTGATTACTATTCGATGGTTACATACAAGTGCAGTGCAGAGAGCTGTATCTATATTAAACGTATTATATATATTTATTTGCAGATGTTGCTATGCAGTTACGGGCGGAGCCAGTCTAACTGCTCTTTGCTGAATGAGGATGATGAGCATCAAAGCTACGTAAAGAGAGTGCGAAGTTAAGAATGTGGACATTATTTTAGAGATCAATACTAAAATAGCCTCGAATGGTTAACATTCTTTTTTTCTAATTAGCCCTGTTTGGTTTAGCTTAAAAAGTAGTTAAAAATTTAAGCCCCGGTCGACATTTAATTTTAACCACATATTTAATCAAATTTTATCAGAATCTACTAAAAGTTAGATTTTTATCTAAACCAAATAGAGATTATATATTTCACTTATTTATTGTGCCTCCTCTATCATACTATCCGCCCCAACTATCTGATATTAAAAATTTGTTTTTAAATATTTAGAAAAATACTTTGATGGGCTATAAAAGCTTTAGAGCTAGTTGATGTAAACGCTCTTCTCCAAGAAGTCAAAACAAAAGTTGCAAAATGGACCTCAGAGTATGAGCTTATTCAAATAAAATTATAATGAGATTATAACAAAGAATAGTGGGTCCAAAAAAATGTATGCATAATAACTATTGAAAGAAAGCTCCTTGATTTGATGATCTCAATATTTCAGTACTGTGTTAAGAAGATATCCCTATTGATCTATTAAATAACGATAGGTCTTGTCAACCTAGCTACAAAGGCTGAGGGAAAGGCCGAAATATTAGTTGAAAAAATTACAGGCAAATTCATGGATCACCAAGTAAGAATGTGCAGAAAAACCAAGCTTCTCACACTCAAACTTGAGGTATTAGTAGTTGTGCATGTGGGGGTAAAAATTACAGTTTGACTTTAAGTTATAAGGATACTATCATATTTACGAGTAGGATAAGTGCAAATTTTCATTCGCTAATAAGATGCAAATGTTATTTATTATCAATGATAATTTTTGTTTAGTTTAGTAGTTATGGGTCTCCTTATTCTTTATTCAATGAAATTGTGATTTTAATATAGGGAGATGCCACATGCACATCATATAACACTTTATTATTTATCAGCTCAAAATACGATCAGTTTTTTTATCTAATTATTTTCCTTCACATCATTTGTACAAACAGCAAAATCCTTTAATAGATATTGGATAATGAATTAGTTGATTAAACTCATCATTGAATATAGAGATCATTGGTCCATACTTCCAATCGGATAAAATACTAATATTAAGAGCCTGTTTGGGAGTGATTTTGATAATTGATTTTTTGACCGTTAGGAGAAAAGTGGGATCCATTTGTGAGAGAAGAAGTCAAATATGACGGTTTAAAAAGTGAAATGATGGTCAAAAAATCAACTTTTTAGGTGAAAAAATCGGGTCCAAACAGGCCCTAAAGTAACAATGTTCACAACCACTCACAGCGGTGATACAATGTATATCCTGTTTATAAAATTAACTACTGTACGAACTAATAAACATTATCTGGTAGTATACATGAAAAATTACGAGTCGTAAGAAAAATAAACTATTTAATACGTATAAAGCGACGTAAGAAGAGCATTAAATAGTTTATTTTGCTGTTTAGTATAAAAATAAAAGTTATTATGAAAGGACTAAATAGTATAAAAATAAAAGTTATTATGAAAGGACTAGTTATGTCGCTTTACAGTACGTACCCAATTAATGATCTTCAGAAAAAAAATATTTGTTAGTTGGGCAGCCTCCTGAGAGAAAAATTCAACTCCAATTAAGTCGGTTGCCTCATTCATTATCAGACGGCAAATTGGATAATTTTATAAAATTGAAAAAAGTAACGTTATTTAGTCTCATTCAAGTTACAATCCTAATATAGGTGAAGTTAATGTGATATTAAGAGCCTGTTTGATACCTCCATTTTCCATTTCCACCCAAAAATGCATGTTTGATGGCAAAAAATTTCCATGGAATTGATTTTCTTGGTACACACATTTATGCATCATTTTCCACCTTTTGAAGGAAAATGTTTCCCATGGGTTTGGTGGTTTTTTATTTTTCAGGCTCTTTTTTTTTTTAAAGTAATTGAAACAAATTCTATCCCCAATTGTAACAAATTTTATACATTTAATTGACAATTTTAATGAAAAACAAAGTCAATCAAACACCAAAAAATTCAAAATTTTAATATTTTTTAGGTAGAAACTTATATCAATCAAACACATTTGATTGACAATTCCCTATAAAATAAGTTTTAGATAATTCAATTCCCTGAAAATTGTTTTCTTTCCGTTCAAATTTCAGTCTTGCAACCAAACGGACCCTAAATGATAAGTGAAATTAAATAAATCATTTAAATTCACATTTAATTTAATCTACTATCTAACATCACCTAAACTGGAGTTATAATTAGAGTAGGGCTAAATAGCGTTACTCAATTAAAAATGAGTGAGAGCCCGGCTTCGTATTAGTTGTGCCTTCTGATGCACAAGCCCGCATTATTCATGCTTTTCAGCACTCGAGCCCTCATTCTACGAGGTCAAAATATCGCCGACTGCCTTTTGTTCTCGCAATTTTTATATGCGAGCCACCTTTTTTATTGCTCACGCTAAGGCTCACTTGGACCCTGCCTTTAAGACAACCTTGAACTTTAAAGTAGAAAGTAGTGGTTTCCAGTTCCACACTTAAATGCAACGCCCTTCTCATTACAATGTCACTACACGTGGATACCCATATACTTGTCAAACAAACCTTCAACACTTCGTTTATAATCAAAGCAAACACGGGGAAGAGTGTCATTGTATCGGGATCTTTATCGAGAATGTTTTGTTTTGTTTTGTTCATTTACTAATATACCCTTATTTAATTTGTCTAGTTATAACTAATTTTTCTCAATTAATTTTGAAATTGTACAAATAAAAATAAAGTAAACTAGGAAAGTTTTGCTTTTTCAATAACATTAAATAAAACGTCTTAATCCGTGTTAAAAACTAAATAAGCTTATATAAATGGGACGGAGAGAATAACTTGTAATAATCTTTTCGATTTTCAAGTCAGAAGGAATTGTTTATTTGTCACCCGAAATGGATTCTTCTCTTGTTGATGCATGAGTAGTTGATGGTAATGGACAAACTGTAAATTCGTAGGAAATATTTTAGTGCTTTGTTCAAATTCAATTGGACTCAATAATTTATCAATCTATCATGAAAGATTACGTCTCTCACAGGCACATCTTAGACATTTGCGAAGCAGATCATACGTGACTTAGAAAAAAGATATATTAGGACCACCTATGAAAGCAAGTGTAGGGAATATATATTAGGACCACCTACAGATTTCTTCTTTTCTAAAATGACGCGTGATGATAGATTAATACCAACGACAATCATGATGTGCATCATATGCACATGATCCGAGAATGCTTCTTTTTAACACATGATTAGAATCTTGGGTGTGGTCTATATTTAAGAATTAAGCTAGTTGTACAATTAGTTTGACACCCTTTGACATATCAAAATCAAGATCATTGATTTGATTTGTTGTGCTACATGAATATAATATGTTTACATATAAATAATGTGGTGAGATATGATTGGTTAAAATTTCTTCATTTAAATTTAAAAAAAAAAAAAAAACTTCTCTGCTCTCTTTTTAACACTTCATCATATGTAAACCATTATATAAATGTTTATGTACAAGTAAAATTATTCTTGATTTGATTAAGTGTTAAAATTAACGGTAAAATTGTGTGCAATGTCAAATAATTAAGAGGAATCGATCAGGGGCGAATCCAACATCAACATTCAGTTAGGGCGGAGGTTGACTTTGATCGTCGATCGTCGACAATCAACCAACGTAATAGCCCAGTCATTTATTAAATTTTGATTAAATAATATTAAAAATTAGTCAATATATATGTAAATGTACTAAAGCGTAAAAATTATATACATATAAAAAAATAGTTCAATACAACCCAAAATACTAAAAAATATACAATATAACCTTATTTATAACTGTAAACTGAGACAACTGAATTCTACGGGATTTCATATTTTGAAAACGTTGTGTTTCGCGCGGGTAGTCGCTAACAATTAAAAAGGGATCAGACGATTGTGTAAGGAACAAACCTCTTGAGACAAAGTCCCAAAAATGGGTGTTTTATTGGCGATGACTTTACAATTGGAATTTAAACAGAATGCCTCCAAGGGGCGCAAGTACACGAGTACTGAAAGAAATGTTTAAGTCTAAACTAAGAAATTGAAATTACATATTCTCTGTTTGAGAGTGTTTGATTTGGGGTTCCTTTGCTCTATGTCTTTTCTTCCTTTTATATTCTCTTGATGATCTCTTCATGATCAATCGCTTAGAAACCGCTTAATTGCTTTATAACTGCTCACTTTCTTCATGGTGGCCAACTTATCGTAGAACTGCCGTCTCTAACTGCTGCCACTACTCTTTGTCGTTCTACCGTCTTCAACTAAACATCCTTGAATCGTAGAACGTGATAAGATTACTCAATAACTATTTCGATAACTGCACTTTTGAATAACCATAACATCTTATGTTTGCTAAGATTCTGGGCGATTCGAAGGTTTGAGTGAGAACAGGGTCATAACTCTGGGTGACTGCAAGGCACTTCATTCGCTCAGATCTTGGGCGTCTTGCAAGTTTGGGCGATGG